ACACACACACACACACACACACATTCACGACCAGGCAGACCGTGTACTCCAGCCACACAGTCATCTCCCAGGACATTGGTGAGATTTCACAAGTAGGCTTTTAGGCAGTTTTTTATTTTATTAATAGCTTAATTTTGATGTGTGAGTACTTGAAGGTTCAGGCGCCTAATGAATGGTCTGTAGTTGCTTTTGTTCTTAGGGATCAAACATAATAGCACGCTGTCTGCTTCAGTATCATATAATTAATTCTGAGTGCAGAAACTTCATCTGGAGTGGACTGTTTTTCCTTGAAATCGTGGCCTTCCCAAAGGGACTGCTTGCCATCTTGAGAGACTCCAGTTCTGTTTTGGCGTTAAAGCCCCAGACTCATGACGGGGAGAAGAGGGGCCGGGTGGCAGCCTTGAGTAAGCGCTGTACCATGACTGGGTTTGGGGCCCCTCCTGGGATTGTCCCCAAGACCCCTGGTCCCACAGGTCAGTGTGGGTGAACTGAGGTCCCAGGCTTGCTCTGCTTCTGAGGTCAGAGCCGGTGGCGGGCTGGCACCTGTGGCCGCGCCACCCCAGCCCCCATCTTTGTTTGGCCCAGACCGAACAGGTGGAAAGGAACTATATTAAGGAGAAGAAGGCGGCGGTGAAGGAGTTTGAAGACAAGAAGGTGGAGCTGAAGGAGAACCTCATCGCCGAGCTCGAAGAGAAGAAGAAGATGATAGAGAATGAGAAGCTCACCATGGAGCTGACGGGAGGTACGGAAGGAAGCCCTGGGCCCGGGGGCTGCCTGGTCACTCCCCTGCCTCACACCTCCATGGCAGGGCGTGGTCTGGCGAGCAGGCTTCCTGACCGTGTCAGCTGCCGTTTGTGTCGCTACATTTCCAGTTTCTTAGTAGGTCCACCTGGAGGGTGCTGTAATTACACCAGTCAGAAAAAGGGCCTTGGCCTCTGGCCGTGTGAGGAAGGCGGCTTTGTGCTCGTCCGTGTGTCGTAGCTCTTCCCTCGGGCAGTGCTGTGAGCCTGGAGCCGGCTGGTTCCTCCAGGGTGGTGGAGTTAGTGTCTCCCGAGCGGCTAGAGCAGATTTTGAGACTAGGTCCTCCCTAGCCAGCCGGGATTGAGTTATCACCAGAGAACTAAGCCGCTTACAGACAGGTTTCCGGGGAAGCTGTGGGTGACTCCCGTTGCCATCTGCAGACTGGTGAATCACAGGAGTTGGCAAGAGGCAGCCATGTTAGAACTTGGCAGGGACTTGGTTGCAAGGCAGCATTGAGTTTGCCACATGGCTGCATAGGTGGTGTGCTCTTCGGGGCTCTGGGACAGCCGATTTTAACAGGGCTCTGTAGGACTTGCCGGTTTTCTTGGGAATCGAGGAGCTGACTCTGAATCAGGAAGTAGGCAGTTACAGCCTGTGTGCCCCTCTGTCTCTGCTGTGAGGCAGCTTGGCCACCCCATCGACACAGACCGAGTCCCCTCCACAGGTCCCCGATGACAGTGAGGAGTGTCGTGTCGGGGTGGAGTAGAGGAATGTGACCTGTCAGGCAGGGAGCTCTTGGAGGGCACGAGTGTGGCTCCGAAGCCTGAGGCGGGTGCTGCTTACCCTGTCACTGTGCTGTTTCTGTCAGGCTGCAGCGTGGTGCCGCCCTGTCAGGTGGTGTCCTCCCCACCTGTTTGTGACCCACATGCCGTTCTCCTGATGGTGGCTGTGACTGGCATTGACGCTTCATCGCCCTCTGCCAGAGCCCCCAGCTGTTTGGGAGGCTCCATTAGGCTGGTGGGAAATCCCGTCCGTTTATGGCTGCTCCCGCTCCATCTGCGGGGAAGGACGCGCTCACCTTACCTAGGCTTTGGTGTCCTAGTTCCCGACAGGCAGCAGGCACTGCTCAGGCGCTTTCATAGCCAGCTTCTCAACTGAGACGGGAGGAGAAGAGACGAAGCCCGGGAAATCATCTGTAATGCAATAAAGCAGATAGCAGATGCGTTTAGCGCCATCTGAGGGCACAACATTAGGTCCTGACGTCCTCCCTCAGGCCATTCTGTACCTCAGTGTGGAGAGCACTGCCAAGGTACTGGTGGAGGGCGGGAGGGAAGGCATCGAAGCTGGAAGGATAATGGGCCTTCCACAGATGGTGCTGCCGTGGTGTTGGACGGAAGGCTGATTTCCTTCTAGTCCACTGACTTGCTTTGCCTCTGAGGATTGATGCCTAGAGCCACTGCTTCCAGCTCCATCCAGAGAGGAGAGGTCTTAAAATTGCCTTTTTGGCTCCAACCTGGATATCTCTCTTTTTTAAAAAGTAGATGAGAGGTTGGTGAGAAAGACTGTAAGAAGCAGGTGTTTCAGGCCACCTGCTCTGTCTGAGCATGAGTCACCTAGGACCCGGGATCCCTGGGAGTGGCAGGAGGTACTCTGCATCCTCAGCCACCTGGGGACACCAGGGGCTGATTGCACATGCAGCGTTGTGCTGTGGAAGCTGCAGCAGACCAGCCGCCTGCTGCAGATGCAGGTCACCTGGGGGCTGCTGAGGGCCTGGAGCTAGGGGCTTTCCCACTCCCGGGGCCTGCCCATGTGCTGTTGGGCCACTCTCTAGGAGGGAGGTTGTAGGCAAAGGACGCTGAATGGGACGCTTGCTTTCATGAGGCCAGGGTTATAGTTACCCGGATAAGCAAGGAGATCCGCATGCCCTTTAAAACAGGGCCTTACCGTTTTTTCTCAAGATTGACTTGTGCGTGCGTGCGTGCGTGCGCGCGCGCACTTGCGTGTCACATGTCTGCAGTTGTCTGCAGAGCCTGGAGGCAGGGCACCAGATGCTTTGGAGTTGGAATTGTGGCCAGCTGTGAGTTGACCAACATGGGGCTGGAAACTGAACCCAGGTTGCCTGTAGGAACAGGCACTCCTAACCACTGAGCCACCTCTCTAGCCCAGGCTTGATATATATATATATTTTTAAGATTTATTTATTTGGGGGGCTGGAGAGATGACTCAGTGGTTAGGAGTGCTGCCTGCTCTTCCAGAGGTCCTGAGTTCAATTTCCAGCAACCACATGGTGGCTTACAACCATCTGTAATGAGATCTGGTGCCCTCTTCTGGCCTGCAGGGATACATGTAGGCAGAACATTGTATACATAATAAATAAATAAATCTTTAAAAAAAAAAGATTTACTTATTTGATGTACATTGGGGTTTTGCCTGCAGGTATGTCTGTATGAGAGTGTCAGGTCCCCTGGAACTGGAGTTACAGACATGTGGGTGCTGGGAATTGAACCTGGGTTCTTTGGAAGAGCAGTCAGTGCTCTTAATGGCTGAGCCATCTCTCCAGCCCCAGATCATTTTTAATTTGCTTTTCTTTTCATTAGTCAGCTGTTCCATTGCCACTTGGCTTTTTGATGTTTTTCCAGACACTGGCTCACTCGGGTATCTTCTAGCCCTCAAGCCCTTGTTGGAAGCCACACATGATCTCAATAAAAGCTGTGGATTTGATGTAGGAATCCTGGCTTTGTAGATGTAGGAATCCTGGCTTTGTAGCTGGTGCTGTGAGTGATCATAATGTCAAGGTAGAAGTCTGTTGCTGCCTGTGAGGCCTGGATTGCACCTCTGTAGACCCACACGCTGGGATAGCCCCGTTCAGTCACAGGCCTCTTCCTGTGGGGAGTTATCTTACCTGGTGAGGGAGGATGGACTGTCTGGAGGGTTGGCTGGCACACGGCAGACACCTGGCAGCCTTGTCTAGTTGCACAGTTTCGCTTGATTTGGGTGTCATTTCCAGGTTTATAAATGGTGGTGGAACTGACTCACAAGTAACAGCCATTTGCCCCAAGTCCCCAAGGAAGCCAGCTAGCTAGTACTTAAGCCCCAGCCTCTCTGACTTCAAGCCTGTTCTCCTAATTGCATTAGGCTGACTCCTTCCACACCCCCGAGTCAGGAGAGTCAGGCTGCTGGCTGCTCTGGCCTGGCGGAGTTTGTATTTGGATAGCTCCCGGATGACTGAGCTGCCACACCTTAGGGTTTCAGGCGAGGTAAAGATGTGACAGGCTCGTTTTAATGTGGTTGTACGAGACAGCACCTAATGTTCCAGTGAAAGGGGGCTTCGGAAGTCGGGGCAAGGGCTGTGTAGGAAGCTATGTGCAGAGACGATGTCTTGACTTGGTGGGTGGGCTCCATCTAAACGTCAGCCCCTTATCCTGGGCAATGCTGGTCTCTTCGTTCCTGCCATGACACCTGGTGTTGATTCTCAGTGCCTTGCTCTCCCCCTCCACTGTGGTCCCTCCTGCAGCAGTGACTTGTGACAGAGTGGGAGAGCTTGGCAGCCTCCGGAGGTGGAGGTGGCTGGGCCTCCCTCCAGTGGGGCCCCATGTTGACTCCCTGTCTGCCGCAAGCCTCAGCTGGAGTGTATGTTTCAAATGTTTGCCGCTCTTTTTCTTCCCAATAGCTAGACAAATTGTGATTTTTTTTTTTTCACCTCAAGAACCAGTGCTCTACCACTGGGTTACATCCCTCACCAACTGAGCCTTCTTACCGGCCTTATTTATCATTTTCCTATGGTGAAAACATTAAAAAAAAACCTTGGGTTCTGCTGACTGTTTTGAAACACTCAGTATTCTATAGTTAATTATAGTCAGTGCTGTGCAGTGGGACCCCAGAACTCATTCCCCTCATCAAGCTGGAACTTCACAGTGACCCCCTCCTCCTCCTCGGCTCCCTCCTTCTCTCCCCCTCCCTCCCTGTCTCCCAGCCTGTGCTCAGCCAGTCTTTCTGCCCCTGCTTCTTTGGGGTTAGCCCGCTCCCTTGACTCCACTTAGAGGAAGACCGCTTTATGGCTAAAGTATGTCGGAGGGAAGCTTGAGCTGCAGCTGGGGGTGGGGCAGGACGGGAGCGAGTTGCCCCGGGAGCTCAGAACAAAGGCCGTGGCTGTGCCAAGCAGTGCCGAGGGCAGGAGTCCCTCTAGGGAGGTGCTCGAGATTCTCCCTAGGACCCGCCATGTCTTCCGTGGTCTCTGCTTGGGGTTCCCGTGTCCAGCAGGTTTCCTGGCGAGTGGATTGGAAGGACTGGACTAGTAAGGGCAGGTAGGAGATGGTTAGAGAGGCCTGTGGCCTGTCCAGGGGGATGCAGGTGGCGCCTCTCTCCCCACAGAAGCCAGGGAGCCTTCTAATCGGAGGCGGTTGGATTAGGTCTTTGGAGCCCCACACATGACTGAGGCATGTTGACCTGCTCGGGTGTCTTCTCTGTGTGGTGTCATACTCCATAGTCTGAGCTTCGGTTCTGGGAGTTCGGTTTTTTTTTTTTAACATTTTTAATGATTTATTTATTTTTATTATTTGCATTGGTGTTTTGCCTGCATTCATATCTGTGTGAGGGTATCAGATGCCCTGAAACTGGAGGAGTTACAGACAGTTGTGAGCTGCCGTGTGGGTGCTGGGAATTGAACCCTGGTCCTCTGGAAGGGCAGCCAGTGCGCTTAACTGCCGAGCCATCTCTCCAGCCTTGGATTTTCTGTGGTGCCCGTGCTGAACTCTCGGGCTCACTGGCCAAGCTCACAGGAAGCTGGTGTTGAAGCCCTTGAGTAGCAGCAGCTCTGGCTGCTGTGAGAAACAGAACTGTGGGCAGATCTAGACTGTGGTGGCCTGGCTGGCCCATCCCTCTGGGGGGGCGTGGCTGCTACTGGGGGAGGAGAGATTGATTTCCCGGTGTGGAGTCGATCCACTGCAGCCTCATCCAGAGGAGGTCCAGTAGGAAAGTTGGTCCTATTCCCTGTCTTCACCTCAGGTGGCTCCCAAGGGTTAGGAAAGAAGGAAGTTGGGAGTTTAAGTGAAGATCTCATATAAAAACCTTGGCTGTGGTCAGTGGCCCCAAGAGCTTCAGCACCCAGCCGCTGCGGGAGCAGCAGAGATGCGGCACCTGCTCATCCCGAGCTCCCTTCCAGTCCCATAGCCTACGACTGTGGGTTCCCAGGTAGAGGGAAAGGAGGAGTCCCCTAGGGTTTGAGGATGCCGGAGGAAGGCTGCATTAGCTATAATGCTGGGGTCTTGGGCTGGAGTATACCTAACTCAGCTAGCCTGACTCAGGGAAGCACAGACCCTGTAGCTGGGCATCTGGCTGGGCCTGTGTGTAGACAAAGCATGCTCAGTCACACAGCTGTGGTGGGGTGGCCCTGGGACAGACACTCCTATACTACGGGGACTCCAGCTGGCTTCAGGGGCACTTGGATAGAGTCACCCATTTCCATTCTTGCCACAGATTCTATGGAAGTGAAACCCATCATGACCAGAAAGTTGCGGAGGCGACCAAACGATCCTGTCCCCATTCCAGACAAGAGGAGAAAACCGGCTCCCGATATCCATTTGCGCCAAGCTTGAATCATATCACATCCTTTGTTTACCCACTCGATAGCACATATAGGGCCATCATCCCACAAAATAGCAGTAGTACTGGGTGGAAAGCATATGGGAAGTATTTACCCACAGCTTGGGTTGCCATTTCCCACTGGAGTCTTCAACTATTGCTTTTTGTGGGAGGAAATGATTATGTGGAAAGATACTCTGTTGGAAAAAGCCTTGTTTTAGCGCTCCTTTTTAGGTAGGGGCAGCTTACAGTGAGATGTGTAAATTAAGGACAGACGCCTGTTGAGGTCCCAGTTCCCCACCTCTGCACTAGTGGACTGCAGACTGTTGTGGTCTACCCACTTACCTGCACTACACTAGTGGGTTGTGGACTGCCGTGGTCTACCAGTTACCTTCCTCTACTAGTGGGTTGTGGACTGCCGTGGTCTACCAGTTACCTTCCTCTACTAGTGGGTTGTGAACTGCCGTGGTCTACCAGTTACCTTCTTCTACTAGTGGGTTGTGGACTGCCGTGGTCTACCAGTTACCTTCCTCTACTAGTGGGTTGTGGACTGTACCCAAAGTAGGTAAGATGTTCATAGAAAGAAGCTGGCTGGCCATAGACGTGGCCAGTGGGCCAGCCTAGAGCAGCTAGTTTTCCAGAGTGGGTCTATACTTATGTGCCACCAGCAGAGGGCGCACTCCAGGCCCCTTCACCTTCACAGCGTGATTTCAGTCACTTTGGGGCAGCAGTGTTTTCCAAACCGAGGTGAAATTGTCACCTGCTCCCTGTGTCTCACCGCTGCTGACATCTGGTGAACAGCTTCCCTTCAGAGCAGCTTGTAGGGTGGGGGAATGTTGAGTTCTTCACTGTGCCTGGTGACCACAATATCTAGCCTGAGTCAACTTTTTAAAGGGCAAGCTCTTACAGCATTTACTTAGCCCGGGCCTCGCCAGTCCCAAAGCGCCAGGAGCGTTGTGTGCCTCTGTCTCCTCGGAAGCCGTGCGTTTCCAGCATGTTCCTTTAACTCTCCACACCTCAGCTCAACTACTTGTTAACGGACGAGCAGATCATGGAGGATCTGAGGACGTTGAACAAGGTACAGTTGGATACTTTGGATGCATCTGGAAGCTCACACTTGACGTAACTTCCTGTGTCACTTTGTTCCGTGTCACTTTGTTCCCTGTCACCTGCTAAGTCACCACGACATCTCTGACACTTGAAGTTGCTTCTAAAACGATTTTCTCTGAGACTTTTTTGTTGTTATTCTTCCTACAGCTTAAGTCACCCAAGAGACCAGGTGAGTGCTTGATGACATTGCCGGTCTTTGTGTCCTGTCAGTGGGAAAGCGCGTGGGATTTTCAAGAGTCAGTTGCTCATTATGTGCCTGCGAGAAGTCATGAAAAGCGACGGGAGTCATAAACGTGCCTCTCCCATGCTGTTTTTAAGGCCCACTGTGTTACTTCGACTTTTCCTTAGGACTTATTATAAAGGAGACATTTGATTGGCTGTTGAAGGTTCCCTTCTATGTAGATGTCAGGCATTAAGTTCAGCTCCACGTTCAGTTCTGAACTTGAAGCCATAGGAATATTCAGTGTCTTGGCTTTCCGGAGCTCAGCCCCCGGCATTACCAGTCCAGTGATGGTCTGGTCCTGGTGAGGCCCTCAGGCTGCTCCTAGCCCTCATTAGTAGATGGGGCATAGGCCCTTGAGACATTAAAGAATTTTTGATTGAGCTATGCTGATTTGGTATCCACACTAAGTCTAGGATTAGTGTGGTGACCCACTAAGTCTAGGATCAGTGTGGCAACAAAGGGCCACCAGATGGCGGATGCTCATGTAATCAATACCAGTGACCTCCTGTGAATAGCAGTGGTCTCCTAGGAATAGCCAGTGGTCCCCTGTGAATAGCAGTGGTCCCCTGTGAATAGCCAGTGACCTCCTGTGAATAGCAGTGACCTCCTGTGAATAGCAGTGGCCTCCTAGGAATAGCCAGTGGTCCCCTGTGAATAGCAGTGGTCCCCTGTGAATAGCCAGTGACCTCCTGTGAATAGCAGTGGCCTCCTAGGAATAGCCAGTGGTCCCCTGTGAATAGCAATGGCTCCCTAGGAATAACCGGTTGCCTGTGAATAGCCAGTGGCCCCCGGGAATAGCCGCTGTTCCAACCCAGGCAGCACAGCGACTTCCTCTAAATAGAACTGAAGGACTTGCTGGTCAGGATTGTTGGCGCGCTCTGGTGGTATCTGTTACTGCGTGTCATTGTTGGGCCCCACGCTCAGGCCCAGGTTCACTGTCTGCCCCTCATCTTGGTGTCTCTGATTCCTCCAGCTTCCCCGTCCTCTCCTGAACACTTGCCTGCCACACCTGCAGAGTCTCCAGCCCAGAGGTTTGAGGCTCGGATAGAAGACGGCAAACTGTACTATGATAAAAGATGGTAAGTTAGGAGGGGCGTGGGGTGTGGACCGTTCATAGTGGTCTCAGAAGAGCCGTTTGGGGTCACGCGAGCTGCTCTCTCTCAGGATTGATTTTCTCAACTCATGTTTTTACGTACTTGTTTAATTTCTTTTGCTGGTGCTGAGGCTCAAGTCCACCTGCTGGGGCTCTGGCCAGATTTAGAGTCTTCAGTGGTATTCCACTGGAGGACTGTGAGCGGCCAGCTGGTGGATGCCTCATGAGGTCACTGAGAGCAGTGTTCCCCCAGGTGTGCCCTGTGGGTGCCAGCCCCCTTCCTGCACCATGTTGTTGTCTCATGCCAGAGTTTACAGCTGTCCCTGTCGCCATGACGGTGCGTGTGTCTGCTCTGCCCTCTTCTGTGTGTCAACTGTCCCTGTCGCCATGACGGGGTGTGTGTCTGCTCTGCCCTCTTCTGTGTGCTCCGGGTGGTAGGAGGAAAGATGTGATCTAGCCAGGCTAGCGAGGGTCTCAAAACTGCAGCTTTCTCACACGGTAGTTGCTTTTTATCTGATGGCTCTTTTCTTTTCTCGGACGTTATTCCAGCTTTCAAGTGTTCCAGGCTGTGCCGTCGGGAAGGCAGATCCTGAAACAGGGCTAGTGTAGAGGGCGGCTATTGGAAGCCCCCGGGTTGCCTGTGACTTTCATTGGAAGCAATAGAAAGGGGCTGGAGAAGCCCCTACATTTATTCCTGCAGCAAACGCCGCTTAGACAGCCTAGGTATCCGATGCCGTTGACTCTGCCGTCTTCTCCGCGGTCTCCGAGTTCCGCTCTTCTGTGTTGCTATGCAGTGTTTCTGTGCAGGCAGGCGCCATGGGTAGACACGGTACACCCTGACTTCCTGTTGGCTGTATGGCGGAGGTGTGGGTCACCAGAGGGCTTCTGTCACTGCCGTTTATAATGGCCTGTGATAACTTTTGTTTCAGTGTTTTTCTTTGGCCAAAAGTTGACAAATGAGAGTGATAGTGTGATCTTGTGACTTCACGTTAGTCACACTTGAGCTTGTTGACCTCGCTGTCCGTGGTGGTCTCAGGACCCTGGGTGCCGAAATCATCATGCTCACTTCTCTGCATAAAACTGTAGTGTGCGCATAAAAACGAGTCCTGGGGCTGGCCGGGGGCTAAGCAGGTCAGAGTGCCTGTACCAACCTAGTGACCTAGGTTTCGTCCCTGAAACCCACACTGGAAGGTGAGAACCAACTCCTGAAGTGTCCTCTGACCTCCCCTTATGAACCTTGGTTTATTCTCTCTCAAACAAAATTGAAGAACTATCGACTACAGTACAAATGTAGAGATATGCCATGTTGTTTGACGGTCAGATTCCCAGCAACAATGTCACTTTGACCTGCGGGGCCCATTTACCAAGGCTCGTGCTGATGTGGACCCCTACCCCCAGACTTTGTGTATGCCGTCGGCCAAATCTGGGCCGTGGAACCTTGCATGCAGAGGAGATCCAGGCAGGCCTGAACAGGTTGTCTCACCCGTTCCAGTGCCTGTCAGCCTGCTGCAGTGACTCCTGACCCTCACAGGGGCTCCTCTCAGGCCGCCCTCCGGAAGGTCTAGAACAGTGTCTCACCACTAGGTGGCAGCACCAGGGGCAAAGTGAGGTAAAAAAATGTTTGTAATAAGGAAAACCAAATAACCTTTAAAGATGAGGCCCGCAGGTGAGGACGGCCTTTGGGAGTGAGGAGATTTATGGCTGATGGTCTACGGAACTGCGAGTCTGGCAGCCAGTGTGATATTTCAGAGTGTGTTCATTTTGTAACTGTGGCCTCCTCCTCCCTGGATTGGATTCTGAGACCGTGAGATGTGTCTTGAGGAGGAAAATGTGGTAAAATCATTTTCTTTTTAAAAGAGGGGCCCACAGCGGCTGGTGCCCGGTGCTCTTAGCCCAGGAGTCGAGTTTGAACTGTCAGCTTCCGGCCGTCTTCCCGTGTCACAGAAGGGTCCCCAGGCCAGTCTTTCGAACACGCCCCTTTCGCTGAATTTCGAAGTTGTTTCTTGTGCTGTTAATTCTTTCTGGGTTTAGTGCTGTTCCTCTTTGGTTTCCACAGTCAGAGCTCCCGTCGAGACTCTGGCGACTGGGTCTACCTTGTCCAGTGCCTGTCCTTATTGCAAGGGTCTTGGGGAGTCCCACTGTGAGGTCTCACCTCCCAGAACCAGCCTGTCATCTCCATCCGGGTGTTCTGCTTTTGTTCCTCTGTCTCTGAAAGCTGCGTTTGCTCTTCTTCCTTCTTCTGCAGACATGACTTCTGAGTCCTCATGTCCCTTCCAGAGCTGGGCTGCTTTCTGCAAAGCACTTTTCCTGGGGGCTTCAGTGACGTCAGCAGTACAGTGCTGAGGAGGGCGCCATTTTGGCATGGCCCAGCTGCATCCCTGACTTTGCCTCGGTCCCCTGCTTTCATGTGCTTTAGCCCGTGCTATGAGTTTGCCTTAGGTTTTGATTTAGACTAACGACACCTCACAGAAGACACTCTGAAAAGAGCCGAGGTTTTTAAGTAGCTAGCTGAAGGCGCTGCAGGGTGTGCACACTTTTTCTCCCCCGCTTTTCTGTCCCCCCCTTCCCTCTACTCCCTTCTACAACCGTCCCCCCTCCACCACACACACACACACACACACACACACACACACACACACACACACACACACTTTAAATCTGGAGCCGCTAATGTGGCCAGAGGTGGAGTCACCCTGTGCTGAGGAGGTTGAACCTTCTAGCTGTCAGCTGACCCCGGGTCCTAAAGGACCTGTTTCCAGCCCCGGAGCCTCTGGAGCTGTGATGCGGGTCGGTTTCGGGAAACGTTTATTTTATTATGTGACTACTAGGATTCCCTGTAGTACACAGTCTCTCCCCACTCCGCGTCCCTCCTAGGGACCGACCAGAAAGTAAGCATCCAGGTTTGCTGGGTCGTAGCTGGGGTCCAGGTCAGACTTCATGAGTGTTGAGCCAGTCTGCCATGTAGGACTCGTCTCAGAGGCATACGCGGAGTATTCTGTTCCGCAGCTGACCTACCTACCGCTTGTGCCGTGGGTTAACGGGGAAGGCGCATTTTCACTACGGTTCTCCTCTACAGTCTGGGTTCTTCGACTCCAGGGTCAGTGTGTATTAATGTTGTCCTGTGTTTGTTGCTCTTGTCTCTAAGAGGAAAACCTTATTTGAACACATCATTTCTGAGGACTTAACTTTCTGAAGAATTCCATAGAATTCAAAGAATTTAATCAGTTTGATATCCAGGGTAACAGTTCCCCAAGACCACTGGGGTGTGTGAGAAACCCCCTGGAGACTGGGGGCCAATTGTTTTGGAAACCTGGACAACTGGGCTGTGGAGCAGCCAAGGGCTGTGGAGGACACTGTGGCCCCCACTGTGTGGTAGGAGACCAGAGGTGCTGCTGGCCAGGTGGCTGCCTTTATCTTGATGTCTAGAGCGAAGTCCATCTCATGAGAACTCTTGGGGTGTCTTCCAGAGCCGGCCATTTCAACAGACCTCGTGGTTCTGTTGTCTCCGTCCTTATTGTCTCCAGTAGCATGGCTCATAGGGAGTTGTTTCTTCCTTCCTTCCTTCCTTCCTTAAGACATGTGCTTATTGAGCAGGGGAGACTCACAGTCGGGAAAGTGTGAACGTGAGGACCTGCGTTTGGTCCCCAGCACCCATGTGGGCTCGATGGCACATGTCCCTATCATTGGGTGCTGGGGCAGAGCGACAAGGATTCCTGGGGTTCGTGTGACGGCCCGACTAGCAGAACTGGAGAGTTCCAGGTTTAGTTCTCACCCTGTCTCAAAGAAACAAGGCAGAAAATGATCGAGGACACCCAGTGCTGACCTCTGGCCTCCACAGGCACATGTGCACATACACATACACACATGCACACTCACATGCACACACACACACCTGTTTATTGTAGAGAAGTAAAAGCTATGCAATAGCCGGGCGGTGGTGGCGCACGCCTTTAATCCCAGCACTCGGGAGGCAGAGCCAGGTGGATCTCTGTGAGTTCGAGGCCAGCCTGGGCTACCAAGTGAGTCCCAGGAAAGGCGCAAAGCTACACAGAGAAACCCTGTCTCGAAAAACCAAAAAAAAAAAAAAGCTATGCAATAAAAATAACAACATAATTTATATTTTATAGGTTGTATTTAATGGAAGTTTGCCCCAATTTTTCTTTGTGTCTAATACACATGTAGTGAACATGTTTTATTACCCACGCTACTCCATAGTGGACATTGTGTTTTCACTCAGCTCCATAGTGAGTGCTCTTCCAGGCTAGTGATACGTGTGCATTCCCTTGTGACCTTGGTTATTGAAGTACTGGAAAGGAGAATTAGAGCGACTGGCCAGCTGTGCTCCGTTTCATGTTTCTAGCGCCGTAATCACTGGTCCCCTTAGAACCTCCGTGGGTCCCAGCCTCCCTCTTCCAAAGGCCGTCATTGATTAGGGAGCGCTGACTCTTCCCCGCTGCAGAGACTCCAAGGGAAGTGTGGGTTGCCGTGAATGGCTGGCGCCCTCGTGCTGTCGATGTGTGCTGTGGGCCTTGGGATAGCCCCGTGCAGCATAATGAGGCTTCTCTGGCCAGCGGCCGCAGCATAAAGGCTTGGATCTCAGCCAGTCTCCTGCTGCAGTTGTTTACGGTGCACACCCTTGCAGAGTTCTTCTCAGGGCGGTCATTGACTCGGGAGCCTGTGGAGAGTGCATGGAGCCTGGGCCGGAGCCAGCTCCTGCGTGCAGCCTGTATCTGGGCGGTAGTTCTCTCATCGGCCCCGTGAAATGGGCTGCTTCTTTCCGCAAAGACACACCAGCAAGATGCAGTGCCCTGCCCAGGGTCATGCTTTGCAGCGGTTCATGGAGCCCGGGGGGCTCTGCCGGATTTGTGTAGCCAGCACGAGCCAGAGGTTACGCTCCTGGCCGACCTGGGGCCCAGCCAGTTGTGCTTTCGTCCCTTTGTCCCACTGGGCCTGTAGCCTGGCCCCCTCCTTGTCCTTGGTCCTGTGCTGAGCTGCAGGGCAGAGAGTCTGTGGTGGGAAGAATGAGGATCCCTGACGCGATGCTCCCGTTCCCAGCCTTCCCAGCGGTCCCAGCCAGCGTCGGCCAAGGCAGAAGCCCTTAGCTGCTGCTCGTGTTGGGACCTTCAGCTGTGCCTGGTGTTTCCCGTTTGCCACCGTGGGGTTTAAATGTCCTTGTTGGTGTCGTAATCGGACAAGCAGAAAGCCAGTCACCAGACCCCTGTGTGTGTTGGAGTGGCCAGCCTTCTGCAGTGCTGGGGGAGGCCAGGAAGTGCAAGTTTTGTAACTCTTTGAATTTGGTCATATAGTCCCAATAATGAAGTAAATTATAACTGGGCATGCTTAGGCCTATAATCCAGCTACTTTGGGAGGTTGAGTCAGGAGGATTGCATTTTCAAGACCAGCTTTAGGCACTTAGTGAGACTTTGTTTCAAAATAAAAAAACAAGGTGGGCTGGGGTTATGGCTCCATTGTAGAGCACTTGCCTTGGGATTCAGCTCTGTGGTGGAGCACTTGCCTAGGGAGTCAGCTTCTGGTGG